TCTTTATTAAAAATTGAAAAATATCAAACGCCAAATACACTTAAAACAATAACACAAACAATTTTTACAATTAAAATTAGAGTTTCTCCGCAAAAACTGACTTATTTCCCTATTCTGCTAAGTTTCAAATCTAAACAATGTCAATATGGCTGCTATGGTGAAAAAGAAATTAGACTTAGACGCGCTTAAACAACTTTAAAATTGTTTATAATTCTACAACTATTGCATGCAGATTAACTAAAGACATAAAAATCTTAACCGTAAGATAAGAACAGCTTAATTCAATCATTCTTAAAGCAAATACGACATAATTTACCAACATATAAGAATTTAAAAAAAAAAAACTGAGCTCACGGAGCCGAATAACAGTGGGTAATATATATATATATATATATCTATATATATATAGGAAGAATGTCTCTGCTTCATCTTGAAATCTTAGATTTAACTTTTAATATGGGTTTCATGTAATCTACTTTCTGTAAATTTTGGAATGGTAGATATCATTTCTTAAATGATTCATTTTACGCATAATTATTTACATTTCTGAAGGATACAAGTGCTTATATGAAAATAACTTATTAAACCTTTCAATTTATCAATTCTTTTTTCTCCTGTTTTCATAAGTGAACATACGGAGGTTGCTCTAAAACAGTGATCCTCAACCTTTTCGAATTTTCCACTCCCCTAAAGAGCGAAACATTTTTCAACGCCCTCTTTGTGAAAATTCTATAATTTAGGTATGGAAAAGAGGGGGTACTTGAATTATAAAAGGCAAAAGACCTTTATAATTCAAGAATTATAAATAATTTCAGTAGACCTCAACACCAAATTTGTTTGATTTAACTCGATAGCTTTGCCTGGAAGCGAATTATGTTCCTTTTGTTAAAACTGTAACGAATAACCCAGGAGAAAATTGCTTAAGCTGTGTTTTGTGTTCAAAAAGTCTGTATTCTTAATTAAATAATTAAAAAAGAACAGAAAAAATACACTAAATGAGTAATATCAATGAATGAAGTATGATTGGTGGAATGTCTGTGCTCAATACTTCAGAGCCAGTTTCTGAACGTTAGGTTCAATATTTTTAGAGAGATGAAAGCACAAGTCCCATTTGGAGTCGACTTCTCTTTTTACTTCCTTGTACGAAGTAAAGGAAGTATTGTAATCACGAAAAATTCCGGGTATCATATTTCAACGAAAATATCCATTTCGACCGCTATCGAATGCAATTTAACGGTGTTTTCACATGACATCTGTACGTAAGGATAAAATAAAGGACTCTTTTCCCCCAAACGAATGATGAAACTGACTTAAAAGGAGATTTTTTCGTACATGTACGTATGTATGTATGTATGACTCTCGGATAACTCAAAAATGAATGGCCTCAGAACGTTGAAATTTTGTATAGCGGACTGCTATAACATGTAGTTGTGCACCTCTCTTTTTTGTTGCAGTCGGCAGAACCAAAAGAATATAAATATATATGTGTACCTACTCTACCACTCGGCTCGGTGAGCTGGTAAAATGTTCGTTTTTTGCTTTAAAAATGATTGAATTACGTTTTTCTTATCTTCCGGTTAAAGTTTTTATGCCTTTAGTTAATCTGCATGCAATAGTTGTAGAATTATGAACAATTTAAAAGTTGTTTAAGTGCAGCTAAGCCTAATTTTTTTTAATAACATAGCAGCCATATTTGTTTATATTCGAAACTTAGCAGAATAGTGAGTTATCTCAGTTTCTGTCTTTTTGCCGAGTGGGATCAAAGTAAACTTTCAATTTGTGCACCGAAAAATCTGCTCTCTTGCTTACTGCCAGAATTGCTTGTTTTTGCAAAGAACGTCTAATTTTAATTGTAAAAATTGTTTTTTAAATTGCTTTAACTGTACATTTGGTGTTTTATGTTTTTCTATATTTTCCAAATTTTAAGCAGATATTTTGAGGTTTTATGTATTTTTGCCCTGCTGCAAATTGAGAAATGAATTAATTGAATGAGAAATCTGTTTCTAACGAAATTCGAGAAAATAAGTTTAAATAAAATGCATCAGAAAGTGCGTATAATTTAATATTCTGTACAAGGAAGTCATGCGGTATCCACATTAGATTTTTTGTAATTAGATCAATCACAGCACTGATTTCTCGCTCGACAAGGTATGAGGAAAGGAAATCATTTAAAATTTTTTTGACTATAGTCCACAATAGAGGCTATTATAGTCCACAAACTATAGTAGAGGCGACTAATGTTACTTTGAAGCCAGGATTCTGTGAGACGATCCCCATTCTGGAAGCTGCCTTTTAAAATTTCTTTAGTTGAAAATTCAGCCAGTTCATTGCGACCGAAATTCTGCTTCCACAAAGTGAGTTCTTTTAGGAAGGCATAACTAACAGTTTTTGCTGTGATCTAATTGAGCTCGTCACCTTGAAGCTGCAAATTAATTCCAACGAACTTTGCGAATACATCGGTCATCTAAGCAACATCAATCTTAAATTGTAACAATCTGTCTTTCAGAACTGCATTTTTCTCTTCGAAGAACTCGAGTACAGAGTCGAAAAGATTCCAGAACCTAATGAGGCAGGTGCCTTTGGAAAGCCAGCGAACCTCGGCTTGTAGCAGCAAGCGACTGAATTTTTCATCGTTGTCTTTACACAGCTCGATCGTTGAAAGCGTCGAGAGCATTTCTGCGAATTTTTTTCACGGTAGAAATGGCGTATTGTAATGACTGATGCAAACGTTCGCTGAGGTTTTTTTTTTTTTTTTTTTTTTTTTTTGTAACTAATTTCTGTCTATGAATCACGCAGTGAACAGCTAAAATACTTCCATGCTCTTTCTTCAAAAGGGGGATGAACCCATGATGACAACCCACCATCGCAGGATCGGTGGCAACAGATATAATATTCACAAGAGGAATATTTTCTCTCTTTAAAATAATCTTTGGCAGTATTAAAAATAGATTCACCTTTAGTATCTGCAGTCAAATATTTGGCAAAAAGCATCTCTTGAATAATTTTTTCTTCCTTCACAAACCGGTTATACGCTAACAGTAAAGCCTCATTAGTAACCAGCAAGGATGATTCATCAATCTGAAAAGAAAATTCGGTGGGTATCAAAAGTTTGCATAAAACAGGTTCCGCCATGTCATCAATTCGTCGTCGCACTGTATCATTGCTTAATAGGACATTTTTTTATAACATTCGATGCGGCTGGATGGTGTAAACCCGCTTGTAAAATTTCCTTGACAGCCGGCAGTATCAACTCTTCGCCCATGAGCTTTTCCCGATTTAGCAATTAATTTGGATATATTAGTAAAGGCTATCAAACTGTCATCGCATTTTTTGATAAGGTGGCTTGTAACCCTGAGACAGACATGTTTTCAGAAACTTGGCTCTGATGCACCGCAAATCTTTATTTTGTTTGTCAGGATGAATATTTTTATAGATTCCACTCACCATTCTTAGAATTGCATGAGGGGAGCCGTCTTATTGCTGGTAGAAATGATGTAAATCGGATAATGGATTAAATAAATTTTTGGGGAGTTTTAAAATTACTTGCCAAAACATTCTCATTGCCCTACTGTCCAAAACAAGTTCATCGTCTCTCAGCATTCTTCCACTGTCCACTGGGTGGTGGTATCCACCCCCGTTGAGAACCAATGTCATAAAATGTTTGAGATACGCGCAGACAATTTGTGACAAAAAACGAATTAAGGTTAGATTTGAAAATATGAACTATTTTAGTCTAGCAGACGACGTTTTATTGGCCAACTAGCATAGTTTACCGTAGAATATGTTTTAGGCGGAAGGAAAAATGGAGCTGAAGTGAGAATATTATGGATGATGGTCTATCTCGTGCTACTGTATTCAGACGGTTTACAGAATTTCAAGAGGATCGGAACTCTCTTCAGGATGAAGAATATACAGGAAGGCCGTTGTCGGCGGTAATCCCGGACAATGTCTCTGCCATACGGAAAATGTTAACGGATGATGATCGCTACACGCGACAAATGGCACAGAAGGAACTCAACACTGGATCTGTCGCCATACATAAAATTATTCAGGAAGAATTGTGTATTAAAAAGCTAGTTTGCTATTGGATTCCCCAAATAACTAAACTGAACACCAAAAAGAATCAACAAAAATGTACATAATAGACATTAAATTAAATTACTTCATTAAATTATTTCAAGATGGTCGCCACTGCAAGTCGTAACTAGTGTTGAAGTGCACATACCATTTTTTGAAGTTCCGACACGTTAAGAAAGTGAAGTATGGGTCTCTGAAGATTATCCCACAATAGTGAAAAAACAACGTGTCATGAAAAAAGTAATGTATGTTACTTTCTTCAGAAGTACAGGACTGCTCAAATCTATCAAACTGGAAAGACAGAAGACAGACACAGCGATGTGGTACACCGCTCAGTGTGTTCCAGAAATTCTTCACGAAGGCTCCATCATGAGAATGCATCTTCTGATTCAGCAGAAATTGATACTTGAGTTTTTTTAATAAAAACACATTAAAGGGATTAAGTATCCACCCTATTCATCCGGTCTAGCTATGTGTGACTTGTGGCTGTTTTTGAATGTAGAAAAGAACTTACGTGGATGTCGTTTTCATTCCGAAGATGGGATTGATGAGACTATAAGTGTATTTTTTCATCGATTCCAAGAAATGAACGAAATTTAATCTTTGGAAAATTCGCCTACAGAAGTACTGGAGGACATTACTTTGAATAACATAAGTGATTTGATTACATAAGTGTAACTTTAAAAACCTATGTGTATCTCAAAAATTTCAGACTGACCTTCTTATCGGTAATTTAGCTAGCGTTGAGTTTCTAAATATGTTACTTTGTTCTACGAAAAACGGTTTGATATGAATGAAAAGTACGTTAGACGTTCTGATATCTATTATGTGCATTTGGGGAAAATTTATTTAAAACTTTGGATGTTATTTTTAATTATTTTATATTAAATTCCCATTTTTATGCCATTGCTTTAAAATTTTAGGTGGTCAGCAGAGTTTCTTCTCATCATGGATATGATTTAGATCTTGGTTACCGACTTCTTGCTGTGTGCGCCGCACAGAGGGATAAGTTTTCGCCAAAATCCGCAGGTAAGCATTTTTTCGATCTTTTTTGCATGATTTAATATTATTGCATTCTGCGGGTTCGCGGATTTGGAGTCTCTCACGACAACGCCTGACGAAGAATCAAAACGCAATTTATTAGCCAGTAATTACACAGGAGAGTTCCAAAGATGCGTTTGCAATCGTCGAAAAATTACGATAAACACGCTGAAACAATCAATAACACAGCCATCAGGCTACAACGGTGAAGACAGCTTCACTGCAAAGCACTAAAGTACAGCTCCCGACTCGGTTCGGTCGCTATCGGAGCTCAAGACACTACTACTGAAATCAACGTGCTCTCGATACCCACCACGATATAACTCCAGATACATATACTCCGCTTACAGTCAGGTTTTATTATAGCTTTTGGCCTGTCGTGGAGAACATTCAGAGACACTGCAAGAAAACGTTAAAGTAACGAATATTTTCCGAAAAAAATTCGAATTACAAAAGCAAACGATTTGAAGATTTTTTCCTAGCTTCTTTATCCAAGTTTCGTTTTTTATTTATTGCAGACGATTTTAATTAGAAATTAGGAAAATGTCCGGTCAATTTTGTGGTATCTCTTTCTTTCTTTTTTTTTTTTTTTTTTTTTTTTTTTTTTTTTTTTTTTTTTTTCATTTAGCCTAAAATGTTATTTTTTTTTAATATACTATTTAATTTTTTTCAAATTTATTTAGTGCAAAGGGAGAGTTAAGAAAATAGTATTCAAAGGAAAATATTCTTTATTATTTTTCAAATCTTTTTCCCTTAAAAAATTTTTTTTTAATTGTGGCCGATCGTTTTTGTGAGATTATATATTATTAAGAATATAAATTATTCAATTAGAAAACATTTCTTCATATACCAAAAGTATAATTTTTTTTTTAACACTTGAGAAAAGTTTTTCGTAAAACCTTTAAGAAAACCCTTGCCTTTAACCCTTTGCAGCACAGTGTGTCTGGTCTTGAACACACCTAAAAATTTCCTTCTGTACGCACAGAAAAATTTAATGAAAAAGAATTTACAAGTTACTATAGGTTACTCTGAACCTTCTTTATTTATAGTAGATGGCAGCTGAACACAAACCAGTCCATATATTTTAGCCATGTTTAGTTTTTAAGATCGTCATTTTTCAAAGAAAGATCCAGATTCTTTTAGGGCATAAAAGGAATTGTTTGAAAAGAAATTTCTATGTCATTGTTTTGGCTGTATGCTAATCTCCTTATTCTGTATTAGTTTTATATTTTTACCTTGAAATCTTGCCTAAAACAAACGGCGAACCCTAGGCGTGCCCAGACCGGGCTCATCGATAACCTAGGACAACTGAGAGTCTGTATTCTTTGTTTTTCCGCATCTCATCGGTAAGTTCATTGAGAACAATGCTAGTTTCAGCACTCTTTTCGAAGCTCTATTCAATCAGTGTGCCCACAGAATTAAAACGATAAGTGCTATCTTCACAAAATTTTACTTGTGCACTCCCCTAAGTCTAATTAGACTGCCTACCTTTTTTTTTTTTTTTTTTTTTTTTTTTTTTAATCGAAACTTCAACTGTAAAAGGTAGCGTGCCGGAAAGGGTTAAGAAACGAATGACGGATATTTCCCATTCATCTAATATTAGCCTCCTTATAGATTATTCTACATATTCCGATTTTGTTTCAAAATACCTAGGTTAGAATAATGCTACATACAAATCTAATACATATCCTAAGTCGCTCTTTCGAGAACATGGAAAACATAAGTTACATTTCGGCAATCAATACAGTAGAACGAGAGATATAGAACTGTCTCTTTTGTGTGTGTAAGGTGCAAAGTCCTGCAAATCTACCGTACGCCTTTCATCCAGTATTTATTGAAAATAATGATTTAGGACATAAAGCGTTTATAATGTACTTTCAATACAATTTGAAATTGACAAATTTATTTGAACATATGTTTTGGTGTAACAAAAGTAACAGATAAACATAATCAATTTACTGATAAACATAATGAGATAAATATAATAGGTACTGGAATATAATGTTGGAATGAACTGTGATAATAATACTAAAAGAGGTGTCTATGGGGTTATTGCAGTCATGAAAGTTTATTACAGTTTATGAAGTTTAGAAATGAAGTCATTTTGAACATATTCACAGGATTAAATTTATGTCTTTTTTTTCTTTTCTTTTCTCTCTCTCTCTCTCTCTCTCTCTCTTTTTTTTTTTTTTTTCCTCATACTGATGTTTATTTTTAATGAGAAATCTTTGGAATGAAAGGAGATCAATTTGTAGGGATTTTATGTGAATATCCTCAGTTAAGGTGCATGAGAAAGTGTAGAGATCAGGTGTTTCCTGTTTCCCACATATGCAGATGTCGGAGTTCGCCACATCTCGCGGAAATATGTGGGGGAAGGGTCTGCGCCCGTTATACAGGGTGATTCTAAGTTACTTTTACAAATTAAGAGATCATCCAGATGAGCAATAATTACCATAGAGAATATTCGTCGATAATTACCCTAGAGGTCGCATTCCACTCTGAGAGGCAGAAAAGAATAATATTAGAATTCCAATCTGAACTTACAACAGTGTTGGTATAGCGAATGAACGAGACCAAATGTTGCAATATCAGTTTAGTGACAAACTCACAGAGAGTGCACAAAGCGGATAAAACTGATAACTTCGCGTTCGAGTTATAAGATATTACTCCCACCTTCATGGCGTGCCTTCGTGGTGTAGTGGTCCTGCACAATGGGCCTGTATTCCAAAGGTCTGAGGTTGGATTCCCGGCGAAGGCGGTTGTTAATTTTTCATCTTGCCTGCCTCCAAAAATATACCTGTTCTCTCTACAGAGTGTTAATTAGAGCAATTACTTTGATGGCAAAAACTCAAATGCACATCTTTGGTTGGCAAGGTCTCACCCTCGTAAACGATTGCTACAAGTTGTAACATGCTACATGTAATCAAGAGCTGAATATTATCAACTAACTCCAACGTCCGCTGCATGCCGAGATTAGCATGAAACGCTCATGCTGCGTTCCAGCTGTCAGAATTTCGTGTCTCATAGAAGGGCGCTTCAAGAAGAATGAGCGCAGCAGAGTATGTCCAGAATAGAAGATCGCTACGAGAAAAACTACCTTGATATCAAGTATCAAGGTAGTTTTTCCCCCTAATAGATAATTTACCCCTAATAATTTAGATAATTAACTTGTTGCAATCATTTGCGAGGTGGAGACCTTGCCAACCATAGATGTGCATTTGAGTGTTAACCATCAAAGTCTCAGCTCTAATTAACATTCGAGCGGCCGAACGGTAAAGTCGCTGAACACTGGTAGTTCGGTCCGAGGTTTGAATCCCGCGAACGGGCTGGCTGCATGGGCGTTTTCGTGGTTTTCCCCATGTGTAACGTGTATACGAGTCAGTTTCCCTTAGAAAGTCCTCCACGAAGGCATCCCTTCCCTTAGGCAGATAGCCTAGTATGCTTTGCCATAATTAAATACACCACTAATTAACATTCAAACGCCAAGTTTTCGGTTTTATGCGTTTTGTGCACTCTCTGTGAGTTTGTCACTAAACTGATATTGCAACATTTGGTCTCGTTCATTCGCTCTCCCAACACTGTTGTAAGTTCACACTGGAATTCTAATTTTCTTCTTTTCCGCCTCTCAGAGTGGAATGCGACTCTATGTTCTATGGTAATTATTGCTCATCTGGATGAATACTATCACCCTTCTTAATTTGTAAAAGTAATTTAGAATCACCCTGTATAGTAATTTAATGGAGGATTCGAGTACAGAACTCAGAAGCTTACATTGGAGATCAAGTTGTATGGGTGTCTCCCATGTTAAGCACTGTTCCTGCAAATCTTGCCAATATTTGGAAGCAAGTTCTTTTAATTGGTGGTTGAAGTTTGAATGGGGCCATGGAAGGGTGATTTCAATACGATCTTGATTGAAAGCTGCTTCTTTGGGTAATTCATCTGCCTGGTCATTCAGTAGAACTGCATCAAGACAAAGCAAGCAGAGACACGTCAAAATCTAATGGGAATTTCCTGGTAAAAATGGAACAAGAAACGGGTATCAAGGCCATACCCTTTACCCACATCCCTACTAAATCTCTTGATCTATCATCAATGTATTTTTGTCCTTTTGTGGATAAAAAGCGGGTTTTCCAAACGTCGACTTGCTATCTCCTTAGACTTCGTAAAGCTGTTCGAAAGCAATGGTATAAAATTCCTCAGTATCCGAATTGTTTTATAAATTACGGTGTTTAAAGATAGTAAAGAATAAGGGTTATGAAATAGAACGTTTAAAAAACACAAATTTTAGGTAAAATGTTTGTGTAATTAAAATGAAAATTCTCTAAAAATGTGAGAGCAGCCTTTGTATCTGTTTAAGTAATTTTAAGTTTTAAGAGTTATCCTGTCTCTGCTGATATTGTGTATTGACTATATAAAAAAATGTAGTTAAATTAGTAAAGAAAATAGGAAAATGATAGAGAAACATATATTGTCTAGCTCAGCGTTTCTTAAACTGTGGGTCGCGCGAAGTGCAGCAGGGTGTCGCCAAAAATTTAACAATTTTGATAGTTCTTATTATAATAATTTTACAATTACCAATATTTTTACACAATGTGCCTGAAAATAGATAAAGCTAATACAGACAAAGAAAAAAATAAAATGTTTTGACGAATTCTTTTATTATAGAAACGTTCATTTTGCTTGCTTTGCACGTGACGCTGTCATTTCGTCTGTTACGTATTTATAATTTTCACATTGTTCTATGTCTTAAAATTAGAAATTAAAGTTAATGACTTCAAACTGCAATAGTATGTTGCAATACGAGTGAAAAAATTGAGTTTCACACACACACGAGTTTCACACACACGAAAAAATTGAGTTTCACACACATGTCGGATTTGCGCAAAGCTTATGGGGGGGGGGGTCCTACAAAATTTTCGTAAATGTTAGGAGGTCCTGGGGCTCGCGAAAGAATCTCGGTGATGAAAAGGGGTCACGACTGAAAAAAGTTAAAAAAGCTATGGAGTTTAACCCCTTGACATAATAAAATGACGTCCGGGAGAGGTTATTATTTCATGTGCCACTGTAGAATTAGACGCTCTTAATATGTGCTAAATGCTATGTGTTTTTAAGTGATTTATGTCACGTGATTCTAAGTGTTGTGTGCTAGTATTTATTATGTGTTTTATGTTATATGTTTAGGTGTTTAATGTTCTTTTTTTTTTTTTTTTTTTTTTTTTTTGTTATAAATTATTAAGTGTTTTTTTAACCATGCCTGTACCAACAAGTTAATGCGACTGTATCACAACTACCAGATGTTCAACAATTGCCCCTGTATGGCTATGTATCCACCACTTTTAATTCTTAAATAAACTCCCGGGGAGGACGCGGGACATATGCCTGTTAACCTCTGTTAATCTTCAGACGTCCCCGTCCTCCGTCACCTGTCACCTGTAGAATTTGACGTCTCAGAGAACTGTCTTCGGACAACGCCGCGCAGTATATTATTATTGTTATATGACAAACATATATGTTATATGAAAATAAATTTGAAAATATTACTAAGCTTGAACATG